CCCCTCCCCGCCAGCGCTCGGAAGGGGGCTGCCCCCGAGGCAGTGGCTAGGGAAGCCCTGCGGCAAAGCAGGGTCGAGCTCCCAACCAGCGCCTCAAGCGCGGAGGGCGAACTTTTAGTACGGCCCCCCTTCGCCAGAGATGTTGATGATAATAATCATCAGTAAAATTACCATTTTCGAGCCCCCTTTCTGTGCAGGCCCCAGGCAGCCACCAGCTGACCCACACCTGTGTCCGGCCCTAGCCCCACACAGAGGGCTGTCCCCTGAAATGTGTAAAACTTTCCACAGGACCATCATCTTACAACACCCTCCCCCTCTACAAGTCAGAGCCTCTGAAGGGAGCTCTACCTCTGAAACGCTTGTGCAGATTGAAGACCGTTTGCAAGCTACTGGGGCAGAGCTTGCAAACGATGCAGTGCAAGCACCCATGTCAAAGCAGCTGACCAACACCAGGCAGGCCACCTAGTTAGTCGACAAGATTTTTGGCAAAAACTTTATTTAGAGCACTTGCAAGAAGGGTTGCAAGCCACAGCATTATTCAAGCAAAACCTTTCTGCATTCTGACTCTAGTTAGTGTGCTAGATCTTCTTAATCAACACGCAAACCAGGCCTGCCGCCGCCCATGCAAGTTTCTCCAGGCCTAAGCACTTTTCCAAACAGAATTACAATGACTTTTCAATCACTGACTTAAAATGCCACGATCCCTCCTGTAAAAAGGTCCTCGTGCAGTGAATCACAAGGCAAACACACAGCCTTTGGCTCCTCTGAGAAGTTTGTTTAAGGCTTATATGATGTAGACTGGCATTGTGTATGGATGGAGGAAGAAAGGCTAAAATAAAAAGGAGGCTAGAATCCACTGAATATTTCTGAGCAACATTATTTTATTCTTTACTAACAGAGTAAACATACATCAAGTATTTCTACACCCATTTGGGCACATCTGTGCACAGAAACAGCTGCTGTTTGATGTACAAGGCTATTAAGACTCTGCCTAGTTAGGTTCCCCCCCCACTTTCAGACAAATAATTGCTTTTAGTCACTATATGACCTTGGTACATCATGAACAAGCCACATCATTGACAGATATGCAATTAGAATAAGTTACATATGCAAGACCTTCCCCCCACCATGAAACATGAAACTACTGCTCATCTATTTTTGCAGGCATGATTTCTGATGGAAGAGTGCAGTCATTTTAAGATTCATCTTTAGGTCTTAGTTTCTCTGGTAATAGAACCATTTGTCCACTATGAGAGAGAGAGAGAGAGAGAGAGAGCACACACATCATTACTATGCATTGGAGTCAAGTTGAGCCACACACTTGCATATCCCCTCAGTGTTATAGAAGCTACTACACCAAGGTGGCTACTAGGAAGAAATTTCTTACAGCTGTGCTCTCCAATATCTGATTATCAGGGGGTTGCATCCCCCCCAAAGTGCATACCATGTTGGCAAGGAGCTGCACAGTACGACCCCTATGCAGCGCTGAACAGGCCTTCCTCCTCTGCTGTGGCACGGCATAGCAGCAGCCCACAGACAGACAGGCATTAAGCCCTGAACCCATTTATAAACTAGTAACTGAATAGTCTTGATAAAGCTACATGTCCAAGCATGCTCAAAATTAAACAAATATTTTAAACAAACAGAGCAGGCAACAATTGGAAAAAAAAGCTTTAGAAGCTCTCTAGAGAGAGGAGCAATGCTTTTCTGATAACTGTCATATTTGCTACTTCCTTCCTTCTCTCACTTCCTTTGCCTAGCTTCACTTCTTCAGCTGACTTGCATTTTACTTTGGTATTGGTATTAATTACACTGCTACTATAAGCCTTCCCCTACATCAGTTTTGGTTAAAGGAAAGGAGTGTTCTGCTATCATCAGCTCCCTTCAGAGCTTCTCCCAAAGCTCAAAGGAACCTGCTAGAGCAGACATTTCCTTTGCTTCTAAATAGAGTTGTGACATTCCATTTTTCATTTTCACAGTACCTGCACATGTGCCAATTAGGAGTTAAAGGCAGGGGGCCAGCTATTCAGATGTCTGAGATCAGTAGTTCTCAATGACAGGGGCTGTAGCTGGAACCTGCATTCTTCCTGCAGCTGTTCCCGATCCATATGCTCCTCCTATAAACAGACACTATGGGGAGATGGGACTGTCCCACACCCCTGTTCCTGGGAGAAGCATACAGAGTTAGACTGGGAAGGGCTTTGGCAAGAGTGCTCTGGCTCCAGCCCTTTCCATTGCCCAACCAGAAAAGTGAGGCTGTGCTGTGGAGCAGCCTTTACACTGCTCTGCTGGATGGGGTCAGGCCAAGCTGGAGTAGTCCTTTACACACCCTGGCTGAAGAAGCTAGTTGTGGGGACACCCTAGGCAGATAAGACCACCCCATCCTATCACAGGAGCAGGGTTTTTCCCAGGGTCCAAAACTTATGTTTCTGTTCCTGTCTGCTTTATGTTTATCAGAAAACACTACTACAGACAGGAACACTCTGGCTAAGAACCACTGAGATAAGCAGAGGCAGTATAATAGTAGTGGCTCTCAAGCAGGGGTTGAGAAATTTGGTTAAATTTAAAAAAATTGGAGGGGTGCCCTGACTAAAATAGTTGAGAATCCCTGGTGCTAGATATAGTGTAGCTACTAACAAGGCCTTGAGTTCTAATAAGCATAAGCTTTCTTTGGCTTCAGTTTAGCACCATATTTAATGTTCAGCTCTGCTATCAAGTCCATATTATTTTCCTACTTACAACTGCCTAAAGGAACTGTCAAACTGGATTCAGAATGAGATGGGTATCTTAAATCTTACCTTCAGGTGGTATTGGGTTGGCAACTCCACAAGGTGGTACCTGTAATGACAACTGTGTTCAGGGGTGTCACTTATGGAAGGTATTACGGTTCAGACTGCATTAAGATCTGAGACCAGTAGTTTAAGTACAGAAAAGCAATTACTTTATGAAACACATTTTAAAATCCAAGTTCATTAACTTTGAAGGGATCCACACCAGCCAATATTGTTTTTTTTCTCCTCTGTTCTTACTTCGTTAAACACTGTGAACCTTTGGTAGTCTGTACTTCAACTTCCAGTTAAAGCAACAGAGCTAGCCCTGTGCAAGACAAAGGCCTAGCTGTGTGAAAAAGTGATTCATTTCCCCCTATACTTTGGTCAAGTTGTGTTCTCAACAGGCATCATTACCATGATGGTGTGTACACTGTTTTTTTTCTGTAGCTTAGAAAAAACTCTGTGCATTGGAATAGACCCTTAAAATGAGTGTTGGGTTCAAGGCTCAATACTCACAAGAGTTTTCTACTTACTCAGTTAGAAGCAAGACAAAAAAGTATTCTAGCTGGTGACAACTCCAATAAAAAATTCTTTTCTCACAATATTCCAGGCAATTCACAGCTGTAACAACTTCTGGTTTTTAGAAATGTTGTAAACCTTTGTTTGCATTTATAACGTCTTATGCTTCCAATCCAAACTGATGGAAGGATTCCCTCTCTTTGGATAAGGACAAAGGTACATTTGGAACTGTTTCATAATGGGAGGGGACCGCACAGCAGCTGGTACACCTTGTAACAGTTGCAGGTGCAGGAACAGGGTGCGATACCAATGTAGGAACACTGCTTCAACTTTAATCCTGTATGAAGCAAGGTTAAAGTTGGAACAGTTTAGCTTACATTTATATCACTCCCATTTTGTGCCACTGTAACTGTTACAGTGTAAAATCCACTGCATGCTGTAGAGCACCAGCTCCCCATCTCCCTTTAAAACCACTCTAAGTGTACATTTGCCCGTGCCCTTGAGGTTGTTCCTACACACCGGGTATGTTTATGCAAGACGCATAACTAGTTGCATAATTAGCTCCGCAGTAAATGTCTCAGCATCTACATGTGGCCCTATTAGGCCACAGGAAACTAATAAATTCCACAGCAGGTTAGTACTTGTAAATATAAAGTACCACCCTGTGGCAGAGTTTTTTCATATGCAGCAATGCACATGTAGACGCTGATGGGGCTAGCTGGGTCACAAAGGTGCTTCAGTACAGGGATTGCCTGGTGGCTAGCCCTGCACTGGAGTACCCTCATGCCCCAGCCAGCCTCTCTGCAGCACACTGAACCAGGTCAGAGCAGCCCTAGGCTGGCAGGCTAACCTCCTGGTCCCCCTGCCAACCAGGGCTGCTCTGACTCAGCTCAACATGCTACGGTCCCAGGCACGTGTGTAAACACAGCGCCCGGGAGTAATGAACTCTGACGCAATATGCTCCAAAGTTTATTGCTGCACATTAATATGCATGTGTAGATGCACCCACCTTTAGCACCACTTTAATAGAAGTTCCTGGATAGCATGTTACTTCACAGATTTAGGATGTTTCAGTGAAACCTCAGGACTAGGATTCCTCCCTTGCTTAAAAGTTTGGATTAACAGAGCAAATTAGAAATGCCAAACAATACATTTGACATGAGGCACTTCAGGCATCATAAGTGTGCCTTTTGGCAGTGGTTCCATCTCCAATGTCTCCAAAAATGCTTATCATGTCAATATTAAAGAGAGATCCTTAAGAGCTTCAGTCACCTAAGGAGTGGAATCTCTTCTGAAAGATTAACAAGGCAAAAATGACTCTGGAATTAGAAGGGCAAACAGTACTTGTGTTTCTGTGTACACAGATTCTTATACAGTTAGTCTGTGCTCAGTTTAGTCATCCAGAATAATTTCAGAAAGTTTAATGGTCTATTCCTAATAGCAAAACAGTTTCTTCAGCCACCACGTAACCCAAGGCACTTTCATTTTCTCTTTTATGTCACTGAAGCAGTGTTAGACATCCAGCTCAACTTGTACTCACCGCTTCTACAGTAGCTTTTGCACATTCTTGGGTACAACAGAAAGGACTGTCTGACACCGTTGCATTTGTACTAGAAGAGAGGTCAATTTCAACAATGTTAAAACACATTTCGCCCCAAGTGTATTAGTCAATGGAAAAAATTAAGAAACAATGTAACTCTTGCCAAATTTAAAAAGAAAAAACCCCACACCCAATGTTTTCATCACAGTTTTACTGTATCTGTAAAAGAGTAATACAAAGTTCTACAGCTGTGAAGGTAAATTTTATTATCATTACCTTAAATTTAAAGTTTGTAACAGAGCAGTTGTAACCTACCAGTTGATTTCTCCTCCATCTGTTTTTTTAGTTACTAGAGCTTTCCAGTATTCATGAGTGCTTTTGATAACCTTAATTGCAAAATCCTAGGATTTAAAAGTAAAATTTTCACATTACACATAAAAGAAAAACAAATTAAATTAGAATCAGACAGATTTACAAGTAGATTTTTTTTTAATATCTTCAAAAAGGGTTCCCCCCCAGTATTTTTGTCTTCTGTCAGTATTAGAGGGGCACCTAAAGTTTTTAGGAAGATTAGGGTGATACAGTGCTGGTTACTGTAAAGAAACAGAAACTCCTAGACATTAACTGTGCTTGCTCCAAGCAATTTATAAACTGAAGGATTATGCAACTGTCTTCTCTATTTTAAAGATGGGAACATACCATGTAAACTTAGGTAAGTAACTTGTGATGTGGCTAAAGAACTGAATCCAGATCTTCAAATCTCAGACTAGGACTCTTAAAACACAAATCTATCTTTCCTCTCCCCTCAGTTTCCTAGGTAGGGGGGAGGTCGAAGTTTGCCAACATGTGTTGGTCAACTCTAACTTAACCTTGATTTTCCCAATAGCCATGATAAATCCTTATACAAGAGTGGTCTAAAAGCCTAAAGGGATAGAGAACAGGAAAAAAGAGATAATCACCTGTTAAATTTTAGAGACTAATACCAAAAAGTGTTTAAACCTAAAGCAAAGGAAATTTACCAGTTAAGTCAAAATTGCTTTAAGCACTTTTGTGTTTAAAGAAACTTGACACTCAAAATATCTGAATACAAGGTTTTTCTTTCCTCTTTTAAGCATCAGTCTAATACACAGGAGCCCTTCAGTAAAAAGAGATCCATAAAGGAGAACGTATGATGAGATTACAGTCAAAGCCAGATGAAACATGGCATGACTATGGTTAAAAAAATATATATTTAAAAAAATATATTTAACATGTTACTGATGCAGGAAACAAGTGAAAATGAAAGAATGATGCCCAGACAAAATCTTTACCCCAAGGAAGTCAACAGGCAGTTTGAGACACAGGAATAACAAAGTTCCAGTAACCAGTAAGAGCTACTGCCAGAGTTAGCACAACACAAAGTCTGAAGGGAAGAAGTGTGCACAAAGGTGACAAAACTTAAGTCATAATGACTTGGCTGGGTGCAAGTCAGATTCCCAGGCATAAGTCATAGTAGCCTTAACGGTTCTTTATATTACTTCCTTTGCCAACAGGCTCTACTGGCACAAGAACAAGACACAGAAGAGGGGAAGGAAAGGGTTGGCAGGACAGAGAGAAACCAAATTATACACCCGTGTTCTAGTTACGGTGCAGGACAGCCACTACTAGAAGCTTGGGATTTACTATGCTGATTCTATGCCAGAGACTCCCAATATTGAAAAGACCCATGTGGGTGGCAAAGGCGAAGTGGGGGGTGGATACACCTAATCCAATTCCAACAGCTGTGTAGTGATAAGCAATTGTATTGCCTTTGAGCATTTGATTCCTATTTTGTCAACATACAAATTCACGCTAGGAGAAATAAGGCATGTTGTTAGAGTACTAGGAAAAAGAATACAATGAGTAATGTCCAGCCCTGTGGATGAAAAATTAAATTGGATAAGAGATTTAATGTTTTTTTTAAGTATTTAATTCTTCCCAGCAACCACCTATACATCTTCACCAAGCTACACTGTGATGAACAATCAGAATGTGCCTTACAGATGAGGCATTTACCTTGTCTTTAAATTCTTCATTGAATGCAAACTGGTTTTCTGGCTTTCCATCAGGTACCTTGTACCTTCTAAACCAGTCTATAGTAGCTTCTAGGTATCCAGGTTTCATCCTTCTGACATCATCAATATCTAACAGAATAAAAACCCTTATATAAATCACATAAATAGGGACAATCTAAGAGTGCTACAGGCAATTCTTTTGTCCATTTTTCTTTGATTCTAGTGGATGTGAGGTTAAATCAACTTTTCACAGGTTTACTATACTGCAATAAGAAAACACCCCACAATACCAAAGAAACCCCAACAAAATATGCATCTGTTCCCTCCTGTCATACTTACTATTATACTTGGCTGCTTCAGGATCTTCAACATTGATCACAATTATTTTCCAGTCTGTCTCCCCTTCATCAATCAGTGCAAGTGTACCCAGGACTTTCACACTGATTACTTCTCCTCTTGAGCATACCTATGAAATTAAGGTGAAATTATCAGTTATGTGCACCAAGGTGCTCAGAGATGGCCAAAAAGAACTCACAATTCAATAGTTAAACACCCTAAAATATTATAAGGGGATACAACACTAAAGAGATTAGCTCTATCTTATCAGTGATTCAAAGCCACACTACTGGTTGACCATTAGCTTGATTCACAGATTCATATCATTCAAGTTAGCAGTTAAGATGACACATTTTGGTATCCAATCATTAACTGAAGCATTAACAAAGACAGAAAATTCAGCAGTCTTTGAAATCAGATAGTTATGATTACAGTTCTAAAAGAGATAAATATTATGCAGTTACCTTACTTCCAATTTCACACACATCAATTGGATCATTATCTCCACAACAGCCAGTATTTTCATCTTTATGACCTGGATCTTCCCAAGTCTACAAGGCAAGAGAGAGCCATAACCCCCACCCCCACAAAAGAAAATTTAGTGAATGGATGGTTCAAGGTTTAATTCAGGCAAGAAGAAATAATCTTGTGAAGAGGCTTACTTAAGATGGACTGCTGCACCTACTGGGCTTCAGTGAGAAGAGTCAGTTTTGATGCTGCTGAAGTGGTACTTACATATGCTTCCTTTTATATTTAACCAGTTTCTGTAAATTAGGGGACTCTGGGTTCAGAAAACCACATTCCTACATTCATTTTCTCTCTGCTCCCTCTCTTCCCACTCCTTCCCCCGGCCTCTTTTTTTGGAGTTCTTTTACAACTTCCTCTTGGATAGAGAAAGGATACAGAAAATTAGCTTTAATACAGAACTCTTATTTTTTGGCCAACACCCAGCATAGCCTCTGTCCTCAATCCTTCCTTCAGAGTGCAAAAGGCTTCTGAATTTACAGCAATGGCTAGACACAACTCAGAGAAACCCATGATACATAGTGTATTGCTGCCTTTAAGTGGGTTACTCGGTTAGATAGAAGGCATAGTTCATTGACATTAATTCCGTTTTTAGAGTGGGGTATCCCCTCTAAACTCATCCTAGAGGCTAAATATCAAGTCTAGTTTCTAGATGGTTCTTTTGTTCTAGGAGCTGCATAAGCCTGTTTACACTGTAAACTGCATACCTACTTCTCTCTTGAGATTTCTACTAGTAATCATCTGTGCTGTATCTAAAAATTTCTCATTAGCTACTGCAAATACAGTCTGAATGGATCTACAGCATGTGGTTCATAGTTTCATAGATGTAGGGTCGGAAGGGACCTGTTAGATCGAGTCCAACCCCCTGCCCTGGGCAGGAATGAGTGCTGGGGTCTGATGACCCCAGCCAGGTGTCTGTCCAATCTCCTTTTAAACACCTCCAAGGAATGGGACAGCACCACCTCCCTTGGAAGTTTATTCCATATTTTGGCAACTCTCATTGTATATTTTTTCCTGATGTCCAATCTGAATTTGTTATCTTCCAGTTTGTGGCCATTATTTCTAGTTACCCCAACAGATGCCCTGGTAAACATTGCATCCCCTATTTCTCCTCTTGTGGAGGCTGAAGAGGTTCAGGTCTCCCAATCAGTCCACACAGGGTTTTTTCTGTAGGCCTTTAACCAGACAACTGGCCCTCCTTCGAACCCTCTCCAGGCCATCCACATCCACATCCCTCCTGAAGTGTGGTGCCCAAAACTGGATGCAGTACTCCAGCTACCACCTGACCAATGCTGCATAGAGGGGAAATATCACCTCCCTAGACCTGTTTGTGATGTACCTACTTAGCAATGTTTTGGAGTGGAGGCTGCTTTAACACTTCCAACCTGGTCCCTGTACCACTGCAATCCGCTTCCCCCATGCCACTACTACTCCCTACCACACAGTTGCCATGTTGGTAAAGCCCTCTCACAGAAGCTCCCTAGCTCTGCAGGCTAAATCTGGCCCACTGGCCACAGATAGTTGACCTCTGCTTTAGAAGATCTTCATAGATGTTAGGGCTAGAAGGGATTTTGTGAGATTATTGGGTCCAGCCCCCTGCCCAAGGGTCAGGAAGTAAGGTGGCGTCACATCACCCGAGCAAGATAAGCATCCAAGCATTTCTTAAAGGTATCTTGTTCATTTGGTAGCATTTAGACATTACATAAATACATTCAGAATGGTGGTTGATGAATACCTCGCCCCTCCTCACCACTAAGAAAAAGAAAAATCCCAAACCATACATGTACATTACAATACCTGCGGGACTGCACCATAGTTCCAGATATATCCCTTGTAGGG